TTTTTACTCACAATGCTGGGTTCTATGGACACCTGGCCTGGGGGGAGGCATCCCATTTGAATGTAAGCAAAAGAATATAAGAGACAATATACCAGACTGTGAGTACTTCAAAGAGTGCTTGAATTAGATTGGTTGAAAGTCAGATTGGGAAAGATCAATTTTGACCACATTGTGTGGAGGAGGAATGTAGTGGGCTAGGATGACATGTTAAATAAATTGGATTATTTTTAGGAAAAATAGGGAACCACAAGTGGTTTTTGAGAAGGAGAGAATTGTTTTGATAAAATAAATAGATCTGATGATTTAGAAAAAGTGAGATGTAAAAGAATAATTAGAAAGCTGTTCAATTACTCCAGACAAAATACGTACAAGCTACTGAAATGAAAACAGAAGCCACGGGAATGGAGAGCAGAGGTGAAGTGAGGGGATATTATGAAGGTGGCATTAATAAGACATAGCAATTTATAATACGTAAATGTGAATTGGGCAGATGAAAGTAAGGAAGATGGAGATTTTTCGCTTAGAATTCCAGGGCAATAAAGATAATAGTAATAGAAAAGGCAGTATCTAAGGAAAAACAGATTTTGAAGAGAAGATACCTTCTTCCACTTGTAGCATCCACCTGGTTGGAAGTGTTAGTGAACCATTCCAGAATGAACATCCCAATACACAGTTATAACAGAGGAAGAGTGTTTGGACACAGGATTCTTATTTGTTTATACCATAAATAAATATCATGGCCTATTATGTGATAGGCACTATGGTATTCTCTGAGGGAAATAATGATTAATAAAACACAAGCTTCCTCTATCAATGATCTAATATAAGATATACCCATCTGAAAAGGAACTTATGATTTTGTATTAGTAACCTCGTATTTGGATATTAATTAAAACAGGTACAGGGAAATTTAGCCTTGGCTGATCAGGGAAAATATGATGGCAGTGAATTTCAGGCAGCTATGACCCATAAGAGTTAACAAGGCAGAATACGGAGGGGTAGAGGAAGGCAAAATGTTCTTAAGAAAGAAGCATCTATATTCAGCATACAGGTACGTTTCCAAAGCTAGAGTAAGTCATTGGCCTATCATAACAACTAGTTGTCTAATAAATAGGGAGTTAGGGTAATTCTATGAAGAAAGAGAATTATGAGATCTAAAAGAAAATTTAGAGTAGAGATCGTTTGGAGGTATCCACATAGGTTATAATTAGTAGGAGGCAAGAAAAGAAAAAGTGGGACAGGGAGACAGAAGCAGCCAAAAAGGAAACCTAACAACTGATTGTGACTACATCATGTGTCGCTGTCCCATTTTACAACGGTAGCACATCAGCTAAAAATTTTCATTGGCATTGGCACAGAAGGTAATATAATATTGGTGCTCTTAAACAAATTTATGGAATAGAAGAATGTGTGTAAGGGAGGGCTTAGAAAAGTTGAAAAAAGTTTTTGCAAAAGGAGAACAGAGTATGAATATTTCTTAAGTTTTGCTAATAATAAACAAGAGTGAAAAAAGTACACAAATAGCCAAAAGCACACAATTGGCCCATAAAAGGATGTTCACCATCACCAATCATTAAGAAAACACAATTCAAAGCTTAAATGATATACTAATTTGCAACAATAGGATGGCTACTGTAAAACAAAACAAAACATAAAATAACAAGTGTTGGTCAGGATGGGGAAAAAATAGAATCCTTACACATTGCTGATAGGATTGTTAAAATGGTGCAGCCTCTGTGCAAAACAAGGTAACTTTTTTTTTTTTTTCTTTTTTTTTTTTTTTTTTTTATGGACTTTCACTCTTTACGCCCAGGCAGGAGTGCAATGGCACCATCTCAGTACACTGCAACTTGAATTTTTCAAGTCATTCTCCTGCCTCAGCCTTTCTAACAGCTGGGACAAAAGCCCCGCGCCGTCACACCCAGCTATTTTTTTTTTTTTTTGTATTTTTAGTATAGATGGGGTTTCATGATGTTGTCCAGGCTGGTCTCAAATCCTGACTTCAGCTGATTGTCCACCTTGGCCTCTCAAAGTGCTAGGATTACAGGCAAGAGCCACCACAGTAGCCAGATGACTATTTATTTAAAAGTTAAATACACTATTACCATATGATCCAGCATTTCCATCATTGGGTTTAGACCCAGAATAATTTAAAGCAGATACTCAGATATTTGTACACTCACGTTTCTAGTAGCATTACTCACCATAGCCAATAGCTGGAAACAACCCAAACGTCTATAAATGCTTGCATAAATAAAATGTGGCATATGCACATAATGTAATGTTATTCGGCCTTAAAGGGAATAAACTTCTGATGCATGCTATGGCGTGGATAAATCTTGAAGATATTATCCTCAGTGAAATAAGCCAGACATAAAAAGACAAAAATGTATGGTTCCACTTATTTGTGGTACCTAGAACAGTCAAATTCACCAAACAGAACGTTAAATAGTACATACAAGGGGCTGGGGGAGGGAACAGAGTTCAGCTTGCCATGACTTAGAAGTTCTGGAGATGGCTAGTAGTGAGGGTTGAACAACAATGTGAATGTACTTAATGCCACTGAAACATACACCTGAAATTGGTTGAAAGAGCAAACTTTATATTATGCATATTTTACCACAATAAAAAAATTACAAAATAAAATGACAGATTAATAAATAGAAGCATATAAACTTTACAATAAACTGTTATAGTAATTGTCTGAATCAGAAAAAAAATGTTTTTAAGTTGAGGAGTATTTAAAAAAAACAACAGGAAAAAAGTGATTGGGGTGTATACTCAGAAGAAATCAAGTCGGGATCAAGAATATGGTTCTTTTTTTTTTTTTTTTTTTTGAGACGGAGTTCCACTCTTGTTACCAAGGCTGGAGTGCAATGGCACGATCTCGGCTCACCACAACCTCCGTCTCCTGGGTTCAAGCAATTCTCCTGCCTCAGCCTCCTGAGTAGCTGGGACGACAGGCACGTGCCACCATGCCCAGCTAATTTTTGTATTTTTAGTAGAGACGGGGTTTCACCGTGTTGACCAGGATGGTCTCGATCTCTTGACCTCGTGATCCACCCGCCTCGGCCTCCCAAAGTGCTGGGATTATGGTCGTGAGCCACCGTGCCCGGCCAAGAATATAGTTCTTTAAAACTTGCCTTTTGTTGGGTTATAATTAAGACATAACTTGCTAACCAGGGTTTCCATAAAGTTTATTCTCCAAACAAAGGAAATTGCAAGGGAAAATGGATGATTAAGGTTGGAATTAACATACATATATATGTTAATACACATATATTAATGTATGTAATTAGTATATATATGTATGTATATTAATACCACCTTTGTCACCCATTTTCATGAGATAGAGAGAGGGGCAGGGAGGTAGGGAGGAAGAAATAGAGGAGAGAGAGAGAAAGAAAGACATCATCAGGCATAAACTGACACATTCCTAAGCAGAGTGTGGTACTTCACTTAAGGCTAATTTTGAAAGATAGAAGCCTGGTGCGGAACACAGCAAAGACTCAAGAGATCGGTTTTTTTTAATTCTCAGCCATGAACTCAATTACATGGCTTACTGAGGCATAATAGGATGATATAGAAAGAATAATCCCAACTTGGGAATGCTACTATGGAAACAAGAGCATCATTTAAAATTTCTCTTCTTGTTATGAGGGAAAGGTAAAGAGAAAGGAATGGTATCACATTAGACTCCAAAACTTTTCAATTTCTAAAAGAAAAAAAAAGGAGGAAAAGATTCTTAATTATTTATAATGGTTAACCTATTATTTTTAAGTATATAAAATTTAGAGTGCACTGGAGTAGTGACTTTATGTACAATACTTGATATACTGGTCAATTAACATAGCACATTTATGTTTACATACAGTCTTGGTTCAGATTTTACTACTGTTTATAAAATACTAGTTTTCATACCTATGACATTTTTGATGCTGAGTCTTTGGCTTGAACTGTGTCAAAACGCTTGTCAAAGAAAAAGAAATCTGCTTTAAGACAACTTCCCATTTACCTAAACACTCCAGTAAAAGTGAGTGGCTGTCTACAATTACTATCTGGTTTAGCAGACACTTGGAAAAATGCAAGTATTCATTGATGAGGATATTTAATGTCATGTAACAGTTTCATCCCAAGCAGAGTGTCCCTTATGCTGCTGAGAGAAAGGAGATTTAGGAAAGATAACTTTTCAAAGAAGAGGAAAATAATAATTGAGTGGGACTAATGGTCCAATTAATCCCATTAAGTAGGAGGTCTATTCACATAGATAAGATTCCAGAGAGAGAGAGAGAGAAAGCAAGAGAGAGAGAGAGAGAGAAACAAACAGTGGGGGGGCCAGATTTTATTTCTGTCATTTCCGCTCTTCCTTTCCAGTTTCCCCACTTCGTGACTCCAGCTTTGATTTGAGCCAAGTCAAAAGAGAGACACAACACGCTCATTTCTTAACCTGGTATCTACCAGGCCCTTTATTATTGTCCCTCTTTTATCTATAGCATGTCTAACTGAAAACGTGAAGAGAAGGGGAAACAAAGAAAAGGAGCCTTAGGATACAAAACAGTTGATTACAAATCATATGTTATAGTGCCAGGGTACAAATCCACAAAAGTTTTTTCAGAGATTAATGAGTCGTGCTTTGCTAAAGTAGGTGGCACAGTTGGATTGTAAAAATAAAGATGTATTTTAGGAAGTTCAAAGACTTTGCAAATACATGCATATGCCCTTTCAGAAAAATTACGTTCATCTGCTCTGAGATATGGAGGTGAATTATTTAGCTAATTATTTTGGTGAAGACGGAGTTGCAATAGAAGGATGTAATGGGAGGGCAAAGAAGGAGGGCTGAGGAAAAAGGAAGGATCTCAAAGTTCCTTATTTTCAATTAGTTTTCCAAACAATCCATCAGCCAACATTTGTCTGTTTTAAGCTCTCAAAGAAGGCAAATGACACCATTTGACTCTGCCATTTTGAAATATCTAAAATAGCTTTTGGAAGCTTTTGTTTACCATTCAGGGCACCAGTATGTCTTTCCCATCTACCTTTTTATGTAACCAAGCTTTAAAAAATAATGTAATATAACTAGCTTCTTTGTGACATCAGATCACTGGCGAATTTATAAAATTGGTTCTAATTCTTAGGACAACTTTATTCTTAAAAGGATCTGCTTTCCTTCTTAGCATTTCAAGTCACATAGGTATAAAATAACATTTTATATACATTTATGAGGACTTTCTTATCATCTTATCTGTCATGAGAGAGAATATAATCCAAATCAGATAATATTTAAATTTATATGAAATGGTCCTGAAGTTTGCTCTAAATCGTTTTTTGTTTTTGTTTCTGTTTTTTGAGACAGAGTTTTGCTCTTGTTACCCAGGCTGGAGTGCAGTGGTGCGATCTCGGCTCACCGCAACCTTCACCTCCTGGGTTTAAGCAATTCTCCTGCCTCAGCCTCCCGAGTAGCTGGGACTACAGGCGTATGCCACCATGCGCAGCTAAGTTTTGTATTTTTCGTAGAGACAGAGTTTCACTATGTGGACCAGGATGGTCTCAATCTCTTGACCTCATGATCCACCTGCCTCAACCTCCCAAAGTGCTGGGATTATAGGCGTTAGCCACCATGCCCGACCTCTAAATTGTTTTAAAACTAACTTTTTTTAATTTAAAAATGCTGTCTTTACTTTATCAAGAAGTTACATCGTTCAAATTTAAATGTGTACAGCCTAGATTTTTTAATCTTTACAATATATGAGTCTGCCTATTCTCTATGTTTATATAAGAGCTTATAATTATTTTGATGAAAATATGTATTAGTGTTCTTTAGAGACTGTTATGTTAAGTGAAGTAAACCAGGCACAGAAAGACAGCTATCATAAATTCTCATTTACTTGTGGGATCTAAAAATCAAATCAATTGAACTCATGGACATAAAGTGTTGAAGGATAAGGCCAGAAAGGATAGTAGAAGGTTGTGGGTGAGGTGGAGATTGTTAATGGGTACCAAAAGAATGAAAAGAATGAATAAGACCTACTATTTGATAGCACAATGAAGTGATTATAGACAACAACAACTTAACTGTATATTTTAAAATAATTTAAAGAGATTGGATTATTTGTAACTCAAAGGATAAAAACTTGAGGTGATAGATTAAATTAATTAAAAGAAATGCCCCAACTTTCAATTTTATCTTAATATTTCCAAAACATAGCCATAATAACAACCATATAATGGTTTCTATTTTCACTGTAGGATTCTGTTCTTCAAATGGTGACTGAAATAAACTGAAATAAGATAGGAGGGTAAACAAATTTTGTTAGAGCACTTATCTAAAAAATAAGGAATAGCTGTAGATTTCTAAATATAAAGTCTTCTATTAATTTCTAAGTTCTTGGCAATGTTTACCAAGGTATAAAGCATTCCTTTCCTATCTTTCCAAATAGTTACAAAGTTATAGATACATGTGCAAAAAGAGTTCTTGACGAAAACACTTGCCGCATAGAACGATAACATACTTCCTATTTCACGAGATACTAAAATACCATAGATCCATATTTCCTTCTCATGAGCATTCCACTGGAAACCACTGGCCAGTTTTATACATGCTCTCCAGTATGTGTCATGTAGAAAACAAATTTGGTATATATATGTGTAAAATCACAGGATACTGCCTCTTATTTGAAAATTCTGGAGAAACTGTGATTTTTTTTTTTTTGGCATTTAACTCAACTATAAAGTGAAGGTAAAATGCATGTATAGGTAAACTTTATGATCAAAATCATAAAGCGTTAAAGATTCCCCAGCATTTCAGAATTCTTTATATCCTCTGTACGGCAAAAAGTAGGAGGAAATGTGACTGCTGTATGATTTCCCCCTATATAAAGTTGACATATAATTCTCACATCCTTACCAACATTTTAGTATGTGAATTATTAGAAAAACTCTGCAGTGCTATGTATAAAATACTTTATTTCTAAAGATTTCTGTTCCAAAATTATATTACCTCTAGCCTTGAGCATTAAGGGTGGATTCTTCTATAAAATAACAGTGATATTGTAATGTACACTTCCTTATAAAGTCTGTATATGTCAAATATTAACAACATTAACATTAGACATTCATGAAGCCATATATTCCCTTTTGTAGATGTGCAGATAAGATATTTTTCAACAATTATAAAGAAAAGAAAAAACTGAATGTATGTGCTATTAATAAACAGCTCAGAAAATATATACATATTTATATATCTGTGCAATATGTATATTTATTATATAATTTATGTATGTTTTTGTATATTTATACATTGCATATATGCAATTTAATAACAAATTTATAAATAACACATTTCTGGATTTAGTTGCTTATAAAACATTTACCTATATATAAAACTTATACAAACTCTTTGTTTCAGTCAGCATTCACAGTTTCTTCTTCAGCTCATTGTATTTCTTGGTTTTCCACTGTGTTGATGTCTACTTTATCTGCTAGATAAAGCTATGAGTTTGTTCATTCCTTTAAGTAATTACTTTGTTACAGGCATCATGCCAATCAATCTCTCTTTTACTGAATTCAGAGCTAAAAGTTGCCACGACTTCTTTTAGCTCTGCTGCCCAGTAATTTATAACAGATAAAGAATATTCAGGTTGAAAACAGGCTTGTGACTAAATGATCCCAGGCAATTTAATTGATATGAGTCAATACTGCCACCCCACTAGAATTGTTAGAATTAAATGAAGCATGTAAGATGCCTGAGACCTAGTAGGCACCACTATATTTTTAATGGGTGTGTAGAGAAATGATAGTGTACAGAATAAAGATCCAACAAAATAACACTAACTTTCTTAGAATTAAGATAATAAGGTCCGTCTTTCAAGAACATCCGTTTAAACAAAAATCAAAGGTAAAGCAAAATAACACAATTTAATCCTAATATTGAATATTCAGCTGATATACAGAAATGTTTTACATTGTATACTTCTCAATGTAATTTAAGCAACTTTGTTTTAGCATTTATTATTTTTATTCATTCATTTTTTTAGTGCTATAGCAATTCTACTTACCAGGGGTTTAATGTGAGGCCTGTGTTGTTCCAGTAGATACCACTGTGGAAAAGAGTTTAGAGAAGGAGAGGAAGAAGAATATTTAGAATTTTATGATTTATGACAGTATATAGTTAAATAGTAACTTTCATCAGAAGCTCTTTCAAGTCTCTCTGAGTTTTTTTTTTTTTTTCCATTTATTTTATTGCATTTTAGGTTTTGGGCTACATGTGAAGAACATGCAAGATTGTTGCATAGGTACACATGTGGCAGTGTGATTTGGTGCCTTCCTCCCCATCACCTACATCTGGCACCTCTCCCCTTGCTATCTCTCCCCATCTCCCCACCCCCCACTGTCCCTCCCCTTTTTCCCCCCAACTGACCCCAGTGTGTAGTGCTCCCCTCCCTGTGTCCATGTGTTCTCATTGTTCAACACCTGCCTATGAGTGAGAACATGCGGTGTTTGATCTTCTGCTCTTCTGTCAGTTTGCTGAGAATGATGGTTTCCAGGTTCATCCATGTCCCTACAAAGGACACAAACTCATCGTTTTTGATGGCTGCATAATATTCCATGGTGTATAGCTGTAGGTAAGAAGCGTGATGACAAGAGAAGAAAATAAAATTTAGTCTCCTACAGAGTAATTTCCCCTCCACTTAGATTCCTTCTAAGCTAAACAATTAAGCCTAATACTGACAGAGAATACTTAGAGGTATGTTTGTGTGACTTGATTATTTTTACCTCATAAAACATAAGGATAGGATCCATGATTAGTCTCTGTGGCAGTATCAGCAAAGACATTGGAACTGAGCTCCGAGAAGAATTCTCTCTCTACAGTTCCTCTGCAATTAGGGTTGCAAGGCTTAGCACACGGGGGGTAGGTGTGTGTTAGGGGCCGGTTGGGGAGCTGGGGAGATGGGAAGTGACAAATGGGCAGGCAAAAAGAAAACCCCCATGAACTGAACTGAAGGACAGCAGTGTGAATTGTGGTGAAAGTAGGCGTGGAGACAGACAAAGAAGACAGGCATCCTCAGAACATGTGCAGGTAAGTGGGGAGGGGATTTGGTTTAGCCAAGCATCAAGTAGTTGCTTCTCTTGACACCCTGCCCTGACCTACTCAAGGCATTAGAAAAATTAGGTTTTGGTTGCATACTGTCTTCAGATATAGAGTCTGGATCTGGAATATCCTGGAACAGTAGTTAACAAGCCCACACATGGCCCTAGAAGTCTGTAGTTCTGAAAATAACCTGTCTACAGCATGATATATTGGCTTTTTCTTTGTTGAATTCAGACATAACTCTATAGTGCTTATTTTCATTAATTGGCTTAAATAGTTCAGTGAGCATCAGATCTGATGCGAGATAGGTTTGTGTTTAAATAAGTACTCTCACACCTATTAACTGTGTGACCTTGGGCAATTTTTTTAACCTTTCTAAGACTTAGTTTCATGATATGTGAAATCAGGATAATAATTTCTGTGCAGGTTAATATATTGCCTGGCACTTAAAGGCACTCAGCACTTTTTATATGACCTTTTTTTTTCTTATAACCACTTATTATGTTAAAGGGAAAGGATTAAGGGAAATCTAGATCTTAGTTCATATAGAGAAATGTGCATGTAAAGAGTATTCATATAATGGGGCCCAATGCAAACCACACTGAAACATTTTACACAAAGCCCTTTTACTATTCTCAAACATTCTGCAAACTCTTAATGAAGTCTCAAATGTTATTTCATTTATATCTACCTGGAATGCTTAAAATTTCAAATGAAAGAACAGCCAATGATGATTTAATAGCCAATTTACTTCTTATAAATTTCAACTCTTTCTTTAACTACTTGAATGCTCTTTTTAATGATGTCCTAATTCTTGCTACCCTACAAGGCCTGATCTACCTTAACTTATTCTGGGAAATGACAGTCAATCTGAGAAGGAAAACGCTATAAGTTAATAAGCCGAATTTTAAAATGACCCTCAAGAGCAGCAGATGAATTGCTAATTAGAATTATCACTGTTGCCTCAATAATACTGTTCTAAAATCTGAATTATGTCAGGACATTAAAAGTAGAAAGTTCATTAACGTTTTTAATGCATATCTATTATTTATAAAGCAAGTCTGAGATGAAAGTATAGATGTGAGTATATAATCTGCTTCTCACTGCCTGTCCTCTGAGTTTCTTATTCTTCCCTTCTAGCAGGAGCAGTAGAATGAAACTGAGCTCTTGCAGTCGATTAGGTCTTGGTTCAAGACCCAAGAAAAGCACTTAGCATTTATATGACCTTGAATAGGTGGTTTAATCCTTCTGAACTTCATTTTCTTCATTTGTAAAAATCTGGGCTGGCAACAAGATCAGAAGTGTATTATATGAAGGTAAAACGTTATTAATATGCAGCTTTCGTGTTTAATGGTAGATTTTTCTGCCCATGACAAGGATCCTGTGCCTCCTAATCTCAATCATAGGCTTTTCTTTTCATATTGAGACAATGCTAGTGACACATCAGTTAAAGGGGTGTGAGCTCATGGTGATGACAAGTGTGTGTTGAATTGGATCAAAGTCTGTATCTCACCTAGTCCCTCTTGTATGCATCTTTGAGTAGAGTAGCTGTGGATATAGGTGGGATCATAGATGATCCTATTAACTGAATAACATCACTAACACATTCATGATTCTATCTTCATTAGCAATAGGACTCAAGCAATTGAAAAACTATTGACTTTGTAAAAACACATGTGCATGGGATGGGTGCAGTGGCTCATGTCTGTAATCCCAGGGCTTTGGGAGGCCAAGGTGGGCAGATCACTCAAGGTCAGGAGTTCAAGACCAGCCTGACCAACATGGTGAAACCCTGTCTCTACTAAAAATATTAAAATTATCTGGGCATGGTGACACGTGCCTGTAATCCTAGTTACTGGGGAGGCTGAGGCGGGAGAATCACTTGAACCGGGGAAATGGAGGTTGCAGTGAGCCAAGATTATACCATTGCACTCTAGCCTGGGCAATGAAGTGAGACTCCCTCTCAAATCAAACAAAGGAACAAACGAACTCCCAAACAAACAATGGCACATGTGCAGGCTCTTGTGTAGAAAGATTCCTTTTTTATTTCTTTGTAGCACTGGTTTTAAAAAATAAGACAAAATAATAAGCTTTAGTATGATATTGGCTGTGGGCTTGTCATAAATAGCTTTTATTATTTTGTGATACGTTCCATCAATGCCTAGTTTATGGAGAGTTTCTACCATGAAGGGCTGTTGAATTTTGTCGAAGGCCTTCTCTGCGTCTATTGAGATAATCATGTTTTTTTTTTTTTTTTTTTTTTTTTTTTTTTTTTTTTGAGACGGAGTTTCGCTCTTGTTACCCAGGCTAGAGTGCAATGGCGCGATCTCGGCTCACCGCAACCTCCGCCTCCCGGGTTCAGGCAATTCTCCTGCCCCAGCCTCCTGAGTCGCTGGGATTACAGGCACATGCCACCATGCCCAGCTAATTTTTCGTATTTTCAGTAGAGACGGGGTTTCACCATGTTGACCAGGATGGTCTCGATCTCTTGACCTCGTGATCCACCCGCCTCGGCCTCCCACAGTGCTGGGATTACAGGCTTGAGCCACCGTGCCCGGCTTGCTGTCTCAACTTCAGCCCTTGTTATTGGTCTCTTCGGGGTTTCAACTTCTTCCTGGTTTAGTCTTGGGAGAGTGCAAGTGTCCAGGAATTTATCCGTTTCGTCCAGATTTACTGGTTTGTTTGAATAGAGTTGTTTGCAGTAATCTCTGATGGTGGTTTGTATTTCTGTGGAATTGGTTGGAATTCGTGGTGCTATCCCCTTCAAAGGGCTAATATCCAGAATCTACAAAGAACTAAAACAGATTTACAAGAAAAAAGCAAACAAACCCATTC